AATCAGCGAGGCCATGCTGGATGGGCCGAATCGCATTCCCATCTCTAATGGTTGGCACAACCCGTTCCCTGCGCATCACCCGGCCAACCAGTTCGCGATCGATTTTTCCCCGACGACGTTGAATGATCTGGGGGTTCCCCCGGAGACGGTGTCGCCTAAGTCTCTAATGGCCCAGAATCCGTTTTCTGAGACGTATGCCACTCCTCCATCTATGACCTCGGTCGGCCAGCCCATCATGGGAGGACATTCGCAGAGTATGTTTTCCTCTCTGGCAACAAACGGAGAATCTCCTAATCCTCTCAACGTTCCTTTCCCGAATAGTGCCCTACGAAATGAACATTCACCAGTCTCAACGGATACATTTACAGACTCCACACGACAGGCTCTATTAGCGAGCATGTCGACCCCCCACTGGCTTCAACCATCGCAAGTATTCCCAGCCCGCAAGTGGACTTCTAAACAGTCGTGAATTGTTCGCCCGTTCGACTGGCTTCAACAGCTCCGGTCAACTGCCCAGCACCTCGGATTTGCAGCGCTACATCTCGGCCTACATCACCTACTTTCACCCCCACATTCCGTTTCTCCATATCCCCACCCTCAATTTCCAAGCTCCTCAGTACACGAACAACCTTCGCACGCCAAGCGGACACCTCAATCTCAGCTCGACCGGCGTCGCTGGAGGCGGCGGTTGTCTGATCCTCTCCATGGCAGCTATCGGTGCCCTTTACGAATACGAATCTGCCGCCTCCAAGGATCTCTTCGACGCCGCGAAAAAGATGATTCAGTTGTACCTCGAAGAACGACGAAAGGCCGATATGTCTGCTGCTCTGAATCGTTCACATTCCTCCCGCGACAGCTCCGTCCACAATACCCCACTTTGGCTGGTACAGGCAATGCTTCTGAACGTAATATACGGGCACACATGCGGTGACAAGACATCGGCAGATATTGCTAGCACACACTGTGCTGCTTTGGTCAGCCTTGCACGCGCAGCTGAATTGACACATCACCTGGATCCGAAGAACTTGCCGCAAGACCATCTCGTCGCTGGTACCAACGGAAATGATTCTCCTGATGACTCAGAGAACTGGATGTCTTCGTCGTTTAGTCAACCGAAAGAGCGTCGAGATTGGCTGAATTGGAAGATTGTAGAGGAGAGGAAACGTACCCTCTATGCTATCTTTGTTCTTTCCAGCTTCCTGGTCTCCGCCTACAACCATGCACCTGCACTCACAAATTCGGAAATCCGCCTTGATCTTCCCTGTGAAGAGGATATCTGGGCGGCCGAATCACCCCAGGCGTGGAAGCAGATGGGCGGTCAAACAGCCTCGAAGAAGACTTTGTCCTTCTCTGCTGCTTTGACGTCTCTTCTGACCGCCAGCCAACGAGAGCAGAGTCAATCGGCGAATTTGTTCTACAACTCCGACGATCTGTCTAATTCCGAAAACCGCCCTAGTACTTTCGGCTGCCTGGTACTCATCTACTCACTACACAACTACATCTGGGAAACCCGCCAACGGCACATGGGCCGGCAATGGACCGCCCAGGAGACAGATGCCATGCAATCCCACATCGAGCCCGCTCTACGCGCATGGCAAGCGGCATGGGCCAGCAACCCTGTCCACAGCCTAGAGCGACCGAATCCGTTCGGGGCTGGACCTTTGTCTGCAGACAGCATCCCCCTACTAGATTTGGCTTATGTTCGTTTGTTCGTCAACCTAGGTCGTTGCAAAGAGGCATTCTGGCAACGCGATTGGAATGGCATGGCGGATGAGCTCGCACGCGGCACGGAGATTTTCCAGCACCCAGATGCTGCGATGAACGACGTTGTGGATCCGTCTCTCACGGGTCACATTGATACGAGACGAGACTCCATCGCAGATCTAGGAGTATCAGATCTAGCGATATCCAAGACACCGACGCAGGACGAGCCGATGCAGACTCTATCCAACATCTACAAGATTGGCCAATCCAAGCGTGAAAAGCACCTACGCAAAGCGGCGTTCTACGCAGCGGATTCCATCTCTATGTCGGACCGCCTTGGTAATACCTTTGCCGAGTTCTCGTCGCGTGAACTACCCATGCAGTGCGCGCTATGTGCTTTCGATTGTGCACAGGTGCTGGCCGAGTGGATCACCACCGTTCAAGAACGGGTGGGCCCCTACCTTGGTATACTAGGCCGCGATGATGTCGATTTGACTCAAGTACCTGGAGTCATGCTACTAGAAGACGAAGATTGCAAGCTGGTCGATAAGATCAAGGAGATCTTGGGGAGTATTGAGATGAAAATGCAGCGCCACTTCCAAAATGGAAATTCCATGTCCGCGCTGAGTGCCGTGCAACGTTTGCCCAGTCTTGTGGAAGGGGGATACGGATGTAAAATATTGATTGCGACAGCCAGTATCTTGGAACGAGCTGCTGTCTGGCCAGGTTAGTATCCTCAATTCCCAAAATCTCACAAACCAGAACGCTCCTCTAACACCCATCCGCAGTGACGAAACTGATGGCCCGTTCTTTGGAAACCCAAGCCATGCGAATGAAGGAGCGTACCGAGCACTCCGTGATGATGACCCCTTAATGACCACCGCACCGTCCCTATATTACCTTGTTTGAATGCCCAATGTTTGATCTATATTACTTCCCCCATCTCCTCAACTCCGGTTTCCCATTCGCGTCCGTGTATCATGAATAAATAATCAAAGGCAACAACATCCCCTCCATTACATCGAAGCATGTGTATCTGCACCAATAACCTGCACCCGTTCCCTCCGGCTTTATTCGCACATGCGTACCGCCTTTGATACACTTTGATACCCTGCTTGAGACTTTGATTCTGTGTCATAGACAAATTGCCTGCTCATGTCATGTCATTTCCCCCACTTGCTAGCGTTATTGTTTTGTTTGTAACACCCTGACCGGGGTCCTTGCTGTGCTTTGATGATTCAGTGGAGTGCCTTTTCTTGTTTCTTTTCATCTCGACTTGCTGATTTCGGTCGAGGGTGAGATCTATTTCTTTTCTTTTTCCCTTTGCCTGTGCGGTGTTTGATTACCCAGAGTTTTACTTCGTGTGAATATGATTTACCTTCCCTTAAAGGGCTGTTGTATAGTAATACGTAGACTGGTAGACCACAATCTATATATGCACCTATACGTACCGGATATTCCCTGGCGGGTAGGGCTTTCCTATTTGAGCTACCGCAATTTTTATAAGGGTACTGTGGCTCAGGCTCACAGAGTCGATGTCAGCACGGGACCAGATCAGATCACGTGCAGAACGACTGATGCTTAGTGAGTGCTCATTGGATACGCTCTTGTTACTAAGTGATACTTAGGTAGTGTCCAAATCGCACTATACCCAGAGTGGATTAGCCCCTATAGGGTCGTTTAACTATACCGCGCAAGTTCGTTGATAGCCCTGCTGCTGCCCTTATTTTCCGGCCTTACGAAGACCCATAGGGCTCAGGGTTCAAACCCCATTTTTGGGGATATTGATGCCTGACTGCGTTATTTAAGAACGGCAGGAAAATATAACAACTGAATTTGTAACACTAAAAGCTTAGGGGAAGATAATAATATATGTCAGCCGGAATTACACCTTTCCTATCCCGTCCTTTTTTGTATTTACGCTATATAGACAGTAGCTACCTTAAATATCACTTATTAGTCTAAGGAAGTCACTTTCTAAGCCTTAGCACTACTAGAAATATTGCCAATGGATTAGATCTCGCAGACAGCAATGATATACTTCTAAGACTTCCGGCGTAATGAAGCGAGCCGTTCTTCTTCAACGTTCACTACGCTGCACTCGTCAATCATCATAGGTGGCCGTACATAGAACGCCTCCCAATCCGAGGGTACTTCCAGAGTATCAAACACTGCACGTAAGAGTGTATGGGGATATACATCCACCCAACCATTTCGAGTTCGTCGTCTGTCTCACCATCATGCCACTCCGGATGTATCTTATATTCCCTTTCCTGAGGGGTCAAATTACCCCACGGCTTAGACAAAACTTTGACAACAGGACCGCAAAGGGAATTCTTGAAAAGCTCAAGCGACTCTAGACAGAAATCATCCACAAAGAGGCAAAAGTTATACCGTGGGCCGAGAAAGTACTGTGGACCCTGCCCATTATTATCATCAGATTGAAGGTTTTCGAGTACTTCAGGGCTGGCGACGATCTGAGGTAGTTGGTCTGTAACCCATGCGTTGAAGTGGTCACGAACATCGTGGGATGTAGCTCCATTGAGTTTCTCGATATCGTCATTGATGACCAGCTGATGATGCGACAGAAGATCCATTCTCTGGTTGCATTCAAGGTCGCTTTCGATCTTTTCTCTTAGGTGTTGAAGTAGGCGACTCCACGCGCTCTCGTCCTTATAAGAACAGCGATAAATAGAGAATCCCCAGGGTAAACCGCGCTTTTTAGAAAATTTATCGGAGAGGGAAGCATCGATGTTCTTGTAATCGTCAAGCATACTACGCGTCTGCTGATCTTGTGCTTTGCTAGTAATCCTACGGACGCTGGTTGGAGAGCTCCGTGGTAGACAGCGCTGGGGCAAGACCGCGGAGATATGACTGAAGATAGGGTGCCGAAGCAACATGGATCCGGGTTGAGATCGGTTAAGATCCGATACACAGGACAAAATGCCTTCAATCCGGGAATTGTAGAAAAAAAAGACGGGGTTTTAAGCCAAAAGGGGGGTCTGCAGGATTTGTAGGGTTTGCATCTCCTCAGCTTTCTTCAGATGATCTCTCGGCAACTGGCTAGTATAGAAATACGATCCTCACACTTGGGCACCTGGGCAGATATATTTTGCCCATATGTCACACCGGAAAGGGGTTAATTCTAAAACCCCTGCCCATACAATTCGATTTATAGTCACATTTGGAAAGTCAAGACATCTGTCGGCCGAAAGGGTTTGTTTACGCCGGCATTGCTGCCGGCTCAAGTGGCACATGAAGAGCATGATGCATTCAATTTTGGAACTTCCCAAACCTCACACTTTGAATGTGATCTGGTCGATAGCTTTTTTCAGTTGCTCCGCTTCATAGACCACCTTTGATACCACATCACCTGTTGCCCCTCCTAAGGGAAACTTTTGGTAAATCAACCCGATTCTGATCGTAAGGTAATTTTGTCCATGCTGCACGAGATTTTCATAGAAAGCAGGCTCAAACTCTTTCCAAATGGCGAGCATGCCCTCCAACCCCGGCATATATTTATCGGCATATCCAAACTCCTTTTGCACGGCCGCCCGTGCCTCATTCAAATAAGGGCGAAGCTCGGGATAGTTCAAATAATTATAGACACCAATTGTCTGCTTGCGCCGATTAGCTCGTAATGTTCAGAAACCGTTTTGTCACTCAACTCAATGGACTTACTTTCTGCAAAACGCCCAAAAGCTTCTTAGCGGCGTCCTCGGGACTCTTCGAGGTGGCGCTAGCTATAGTTTTAAGATGATCGTTAAATACGCCGATTGCTATAGGATTTTTATCCATCTAAAGAGTCATCTTGATAATGTTCATCTCAGCCTCGAGGAAAGACATTCCCGTGCGATAGGCGTAGGAGCCTAAAATCTCAAAGACACGAACATTCGGAGTCATTGGGCAGCCCAACCCTTGACATCAGTGACAAGTTGTCCTGCCAGCGGTAGAGATACATCATATACTTTGTTCTATCCAGCCAAAAGGTTCGCTGAATCTATCTTTGCGGCTTTCATCAGATTCCCGTTTGGCAAAACTCCCGACAAAGTTGTTACCAGGAACTTCGGGATCATATTCAGCTAGATCGTCTGGTTAGCCATTGCTTCAAAACCAGGAGGATGCGACAGTGGTACTCACCTCCACCATATGCTCCACGTGAGAACCCTTTTTTGGAAGACCGGCATGCTTGGTGAGTTGAACAGTAGTGGATGAACAAACATCTTGCAACATGCTAAGAAGTCTGGTCAGCTGGTTTGATCCCGTTTCGGAATGTAAGAAAAGTGACGCACCTTAAGCCTCCAGCGAGACCCAAAGTGGACGATCCGTGTCCTTTGAATACCTTAAGCCCCGGTGGGTGCCGACTATTATATTTTGTTTCGGCTTCTTTATTTGAATAACTTCGTTTTTATTATCAATATCTTTAAAAGGGTAACCTCAGGGACGTGCTCAGTTTTACTTGATCAAAAACCGGCAAGAGGTGAGCAACTAAAACGGAAAGGGAAATGTCTCGAGTGCCAGGCATTATCCGGTACATATGTACATATGCTAGTATGAGTATGTAGTTGGCCGCGGAAATGGCCCCTGTCTTCAGCATTTAACTAGTGGTCCAAGCGCTCTGTAACCACCCAAGACTACGGGTTGCTATTTGGGTTGCTTGTGCATTTTCTCCGCACCGCTTCACTCAGTCTCCGACACACTCGAAGAAATCTTCAAAACTTATACTAAGAGAAAGTCTGATTCTACAATACTCAGCACACTGTACGCTCCTTTGGCGAAAATATGGAAGTGGAACACTAGTTTGCTTTCGAGGCAACCTGTGGACGACCCCGGTGGTTAGAATCTCCGGTAGATACATCTGCCTGGTGTCAATCGCATATGGGCGACCTACCTCTGCACCGGGAATGAATACCACCTCCAAGAATCTCCCCCGAAATTTCTCTGTCCCAGCGTCCGACTGCCGCGGCTTCTCCACCCAACGATTAATCTCAGCTCAGCTCGAAACCCAACCCAATGCCTTATCCGCGGCCCGTCTCCCCGGTCTCCCTCGAAACATGCCCACCTCCGCCCTCCGAGATATATTCAGATGACCTGCTTGCCTCGGATGACGAGCTAGATGACGCTGCCCGAGCTGCAAAGCGTCAGCGGGTCGAGAAGTTGGCGCAGTCCTATCTGGAGGGCAGACCACTATTGATTCTATCTGCGTCGCTCCGAGGCCCGTTCAATGACGGATGGGTCAATCCATGGAAGAAGAATAGGACACGGGAGACTGGCGGACCAGCGAGGGTTCGGCAGATAAATGTCCCCGAGCGGGTGGTTCAGGAAACTGATTTACGGGCTCCGAAGTACCGAGAGGGTCTATCGGTTGGCACTCGTCGCCCGGAGATTCCTGCGACATCGTGCAACTCTCCTGAGGACCTCGGTGCAAACTGGAGGCCGTTCTTCGCCCTCTAAGTCGCCGCGGAGACAATCCAAGGAACCAACCCCGCGACGATCTCCCACCAAATCAAAGCAACCGCCGTCGTCGACAGTGGACGATCAATCAATAATGCTGCCTAGGACAGCGGACTGGCTGAAGAAGGATCGGAAGCTCATGAATTTCACCAAGTTTGAACCGCCGAGTTCGCCAACAATATCTGTGGCTTCTCGTCAGTCAGATAAAGCTCGTCGACCGATGCCGCGCTCTGTCCAAGTCCAGGTCCCACAGACGCCGGGATCACCAATAAAATTCTCTCCTGTTAAAACTGTCGCAGCGAAGACAGACCAGAGTGCTCGTGCGAACTCGAAGAGGCACCTATCCCCACGGTCGAATCCATTGGGCGCCTCAAATTCACCTAAGGTTCCATCCGTTCCCAAACTATCGCCTTTCGAACAATATCAACAATCCAATTTGCCACAGGAAGCATCTCTCCGAATAGTTAATTCTTCCTCTCAGCTGCCGAGGTTTGAATATCGGAGGTGGCTCCGTCAGCATTCGAGTCAACAGGAGAAGACATCTCCTATGCAAGATGAAAGTATCTTGCAAGAAGAGACTTTCTTGCAGGAGGACAGCCCTCTGAAAGAAAAATCCGCAGTTGATCCCGCACCCGCCAGTCCTAGTCCAGCTAGGAATCAAGCATTGGATTCTGCTGAACCCGAACCTGAACACTCGACCCCTGAAGAAATAGCAGTTCACAATGGGGACCCTGTGAAGAACGATGCAAGCCACAAAACTCTGTCGAAAGAAACTAGGTTCGCAGATGAGGAAGACCTCATAGAAAGCAATCTTGCGGCGAGTCAGGTCGCGGCGGAACTTGATGCTGTGAACGAGGAAGATACAGCGACATTACAAAACACAGATATCACTGAACCAACCGAACACAACACCTACGATGATCTCCCTTCTGCCCAGCAAGTGCCACCACCTTTAGGTGTGTCAGATCGGGTAACATCATTGCACTCGACGGCTTTGCCGAGAGAAGATTCAGGACGAGACTCACCCTCAAGCCATGATACCCAACTTTCGACTCAGGCTGCCCTTTTGCATGCCCAGAAATCTTTTCAAGATGACTTGGACAGCCCAGAATATTACAACCAACATACACCGAATCCGGACCGAGCAGTGCATTCACCCAATGCTTCGTTTCACTCAGCAAATGTCACTCCATTCTACCGTCTAGAAGAGTCAATTCGGCGTGATCTAGAGCGGAGTTCGAAATCCATGAACAAGGACGGGATGCCAGCTATGAGCACGCAATTCATGCTTGATGCAGCTACGCCTTTCAATTTCAGCACTGAGCAAGCTGGTCAAGACCGGAGCTTGAAACCTACGAACAGAAACATGACGCAAATGAATACGCAGTTCATGCTCGATGCAGCTACACCCTATGCTTTCAGCACGGAAAAGAGACAGCGTGCATCCCGGCCAGACTCAGGCTCACCAACAACAAGAAACTCCAAGAGAAAAAAGACGGCCAATACCGGAAGCCCCTCCCCTTCTACTAGGAGTCGATCAACATCTGTCAACAACGAAAATCACACTGCGGAATCCCAGTCAGGTGAAGATGAAGGAAGCCCACAATCAGCGGCGCAACGATTGGATCAGCAACCGACTTATCAATCTGCCACAGAGGTCGCGTCTTTGCCCCTCACCCTAAGCGGATCGGTGCCAACAACAGGCCAGGATGGGCAAGGTGTTCACCAGGGAATGGAGAGTTTCAATCTCAGTCAGGCAATTGCAGATGCTGGTAGCTGGCTTCAGCAAAGTTTTGATTTCATGAAGGACAGCGCTCGGCCGAGTCAGCATCGCAAGGCGATTCCTACCTCTGATGCACAGCCTTCCCCTATAAACATGGATTTATCTCAATAAGAGAGTTCCTTGATGCTATTACGACTATTTTTCTCACTCAATTCTTTTTGTTTCTCATTCATCCCATCATCAATAGCGTGTTGAAAGCTTCAGCTTGGTAGCGAAGTTGATTCGCATCTCATAGTCCTAGCATATATTCTTTTAGCAATACATATTTATTGTTATTGTAATTGCATGTTTTACATATGCAGATATGGAAAAGAACGCTGCAACTTCCAAGTTTGCACCAGAAATGAACAATCAATTATTTGGAGTAACAAAAAGTAAAAAGAGAACGTCGTCCTTGCAGCCGTAGATCGACGTCAGGAACCAAGTGGCCCGAGCGCCAGCGGGGAGAGCTCCGAACCGCATCGTCACCTTCCCACACATCTCAATTAATGGCGAGCCGAGATGGCGCTGACATCAGTAAGAGGGCATGATTTCCTACCGATGGACCGAAGCTGACAGAACCAACAGTGGAAAGCATTCAACTTCATCGACGTGTCGCCGGTGAAGCTACCAGAGGACAGCTCCTCAATCTTCGATGTAAGGCCTCGACTTTCCTCTGTTCCAGCCCACGACGTAGCTAACAGACCCCCTAGAATGACCTTTCGAGTATCTGCACTGGCTCCGCGAACCTCTTCGTCGGTACTACCGATGGCTTCGTCCACATCGTCTCCTCGGCCTTCCGCATCGTGCGATCGTTCAAGGCTCACGATACCGGCTCCATTACACACATGCGACAGATAAACGATACCGCTCTACTAGTCACTCTCGCAGAGGATCTATCCAACGAGCCGGTTCTGAAAGTCTGGGCTCTAGACACGGAGAAGAAAGATGGAGGCCCGCGGTGTCTGTCAACGGTCTCCGTTCAAAATGCCAGGAGACAGTTCCCGGTGCGTTTACATCCGAAGCGGCAATAAACTCGGTCCAATACTTACTTACAGTGGTATAGATATCGGCTTTCGCAGCCGTCGATGACCTCTCACAGGTAGCAGTGGGTTTCGCGAACGGATCCGTGACGATCATCCGAGGCGACCTAATCCACGACCGAGGCGCGCGACAACGGATCGTATTCGAATCCGAGGAACCGATTACCGGCCTCGAAACGCAAACAGGCGCCGTTACAACCCTCTACATTTCAACAACGAGCCGTATCTTGACATTGGTCATCGCCGGGCGAGGGCAGGGCCAGCCTGCGCGCGTTTTGGAAGATACGGGCTGCGGCTTAGGCTGCATGACTCTGGATAGAGAGGGCGGGGATATTCTCATTGCTCGGGAAGAGGCGATCTTTACATACGGGCCGCGGGGTCGTGGTGCGAGCTATGCGTTCGAGGGCCCGAAGACGTCTATTGATGCCTTCCGTGACTATGTGGCTCTCGTCTGTCCGCCCAAGGCTGGAACTGGCAAGTCGGATCCGCTAAGGAAATACACTGCTAGTCCGGCTGAGGATATTTTTGGCACGACCACGTTCACTCTTCTCGATACTGATCTCAAGTTCATCGCGCATAGCGAAGCACTCGTGTCACCTATGAAACGTATTTTCATGGAGTGGGGTGACTTGTTTCTTCTTACGACAGAGGGCAAGGTATGTGGATAGCTGTACTGTTGTTTTGGTCTTTCTTTTAACCCGTTTTAGATCTTCCGTTATCGGGAAAAGACACTTCAGCAAAAGCTCGAAATCTTATACGAGCGCAATCTTTACATCCTTGCTATTAATCTTGCGCAAAAGATTGGGATTGATCCGTTACAACAGAATGCCATCTACCGCAAGTATGGTGACTTTTTGTACCAGAGAGGCGACTATGATACCGCTATGCAGCAGTATCTCCGGGCCATTGATAATACCGAACCTTCTCAGGTCATTCGCAAGGTTAGTGAGGATAAGGATTCAGTATTTTTCTCTTACTAACCCTTGCTACAGTACCTGGACACCCAACGTATTCACAACTTGATTGAGTACCTTGAAGAGCTACATGACCATGGCCGTGCCACGGTTGATCATACAACACTTCTTTTGAACTGCTACGCAAAGCTCAAGGATACAAGCAAGCTGGACTCGTTTATCAAAGCTCCTGGTGAGCTGAAATTTGACCTTGAAACTGCCATTGCAATGTGCCGTCAAGGCGGATACTATGAGCAAGCAGCCTACCTTGCAACAAAGCATGGTGAGAATGACATGGTCGTTGATATCCTAATCGAAGACTCCAAGAAGTACGCCGAGGCAGTGGAATACATTTGGCGGTTGGATCCCGAAGTGGTATGTCTCAACTGCGTCATCTGGAAGAAGCAAGCTAATCCGTGTCAGGCCTATCACAATTTGATGAAGTACGCTCGAGTGTTGCTGACACATTGCCCTGAGCGGACAGCAGAGCTGTTCAAGGTTTACTATTCTGGCCAGTACCGGCCACGCACGGAGGTAGAACAGCCATCAGAGCCCCAAGAACAGCCTACTAGCACAGTGCAAAGTCTTGCTGCGCTTCTTCCTTTGCGGTATATGCATGTTGGTTCCCGCACACAGCCTCCGGCTGAAACCCCTGAGACGGCGACAGATGAGGACAAGGTTGAAGAGACTCTGCCAGATTATGACATTCCCAAGCCGCGAACAGCCTTCTCTGCATTTGTGGATCACCCCGAAGAGTTCATCGATTTCCTCGAGACTTTGGTGCAGCAGCCGGACTTGAAGCAGGACGCCAAAGTCGATCTTTTCACAACACTGTTTGAAATGTACCTGGACACAGCAAAGGGAAAAGAAGGATGCTGCCGAAAGAGAGGAATGGGAGACAAAGGCAAAGAGACTAATCGAAGGGAAAGACGTGAGTTATCCTGTCGCCCATTCATCGCCACTCATATCTAACCCACCTAGATCCCGATCTCCACATCCAACGTGCTTCTCCTCTCGGACCTGTCCAATTTCAGGGAAGGATCCACTCTCGTCCGCGAGCAAGAAGGTCTCCGCCTGGACATTTTCCGTTCCTTCACATCAGCAAAGGATACACAGGGTGCCATCAAAGCTCTACGTCGGTACGGTCCCGACGAGCCTCAACTCTACGTAGACGCATTGACATACTTCGCCTCGAGCCCGAAAATCCTCGAAGAAGCAGGCGACGAGCTAGACGCAGTCCTGCAGCGCATCAACCAAGACGGCCTCCTTTCTCCATTGCAGGTGATCCAAGCGCTCAGCAACAACGCGGTAGTAACAATGGGCCGCGTGAAGAAGTATCTTAGTGACAACATCGACCGCGAACGCAAAGAAATCACCACCGTAAGCTCCTTCAACGCGTTCCCCTCAACGAATAACAAAACTAACCCGTCCCTCACCAGAACCGCCGCCTCATCACAAGCTACAAATCCGAAACCGAAACCAAACAACAAGAACTAGATCACCTAACCACCCAACCAGTAGTCTTCCAATCCCGCCGCTGCCAATCCTGCGGCGGAACCCTCGATCTCCCGAACAGTCCACTTTCTCTGCAAACATTCCTTCCATGAGCGCTGTCTGAACAAGCTCGACGACGACGCACAGTGTCCCGTCTGCGCCCCGACCAATGCGACCCTGCGCGCTATCCGGCAACGGCAGGTTGATTCCGCGGATCAGCACGAATTGTTCAAGGGGGAGTTGTCTCGCTCGCGGGATCGATTCGGGGTTGTTAGTGAGTTCTTCGGGAGGGGTATTATGAGGCCGCAGAGTACTATGGAGTAGGCTGGGTCGGATTGATTGCACTTAGTTTAGATATGCTTTTTATTCTTTTCTTGGGCGTGTTCATATGGAGCTGGTTTTATTTGTTTTGATACCTCGATCTTTGTGAATTAGATCAAGTTGTTCCTCTTATTGGTAAATGTAGTAGATAGTAGGGAGAGAAGCAGTTCATACATTCATCTACATTGTTTACAATGTTTAATACTAATCTTGGATAGACGTACAATGACACCGTGCCTATCAGACCGTAGATACTGCAAAGACTTACACGGCTGTTCGGCGACTTACATCCGCTGCCCTTCTCCGGAAAGCGTTCATAGAAGAACAAGGGGAGCAACAGCACTCCAGAGTGTGGGAATCATGCCTTTAACTCTGGACTTTATGGCAATCACGAGAGCCCAATTCCGGGGAAGGGCTTCTCGGAAGGAGTCCATGTCAGTCTCCGGGAGTGGTATTCCGAGGGACTTATATAGTACAACGTGTATATAATGTTAACAGTGTTAAGCTTGCCCGTATATCCAGTAACGAATATTCGCTTCCAGTTGCACCTACAGATATCATCCCTACAATGTCTGGACTCTCCTTTCCTCAAAAGTCGGAGGCTGTTTCGAACGTCGTGACAGCCAAAGAGTTGGAACTACTTGTTCAGGATCAGGCTTTTATTGATGGATGCTGGGTGAAAAAGGAGCAGACCTTCAATGTATATGGTTCGTCTCTTACAATCACTGTAATCACTATATATGAGACTGATCTCATTATTCACCAGACCCATCCACGGCACAGGTTCTCGGAACTGTAGCAGACTGTGATTTGAATGACATTCAGTCGGCCATCGAAAGTGCAAATGTGGCCCAGAAGAACTTTTATTCTTCAACTACCGCTGCGCAACGTGGAAATCTACTGCGGAAATGGCACGACTTGGTCATGCAAAACGTTGAAGACCGTAAGGATATTCCTATTTCCAAAGCTCCGCTTTTACCTCTAACAGCTGTCTTTAGTCGGAAGAATTCTCTGCCTAGAGAACGGCAAGACTATCAATGAGGCCAAAGGCGAAATAGCCTATGCGGCGAGCTTCATTACTTGGTTTGCCGAAGAAGCAATGCGCTCGTATGGAGACACAATCCCATCATCGACACCGAACACCATTGTAATGACCGAGAAAGAACCAGTTGGTGTCTGCGGTATCATTACTCCATGGAACTTTCCAGCAGCCATGATCAGTCGCAAGGTTGCCCCAGCTCTGGCTGCTGGGTGTGCCGTGGTTATCAAGCCACCAAGTGAGACACCGTTTACCTGTCTCGCTCTCACAAAGCTGGCTTTGAAGGCGGAAATTCCTGGTAAGGTCATCCAGGTTTGCCCGACAAAGAATAGGCAGGTGGCCTCAGAGCTCGCGACGCACCCTCTCATTCGCAAAATCAGCTTCACTGGATCTACCAATGTGGGCAAGAATCTCGCCAAGCTAGCATCTGGCACCCTTAAGAAGATCAGTCTCGAGCTAGGTGGTAATGCTCCTTTTATTGTCTTCAATGATGCCGATGTCGACCTTGCTGTTGAAGGAGCCATGATGTCCAAATTCCGATGTTCGGGCCAGACTTGTGTGTGGTGAGTTTACTTCTTCCTCATTGTTACATACAACCTAACGATAAAATAGTGCCAACCGGCTCTATGTCCAAAGAGGCATTTTGGACGAGTTCACTCGGAGACTGGTACAGAAGGTCTCTGAACTTCGCCTGGGACCCGGGATTGAAAACTCATGCACTCAAGGCCCGCTGATTAATGCGGCCGCTGTTGACAAGGTTAAAAGTCATATCGAAGACGCTGTGTCCAAGGGTGCTTTCGTGGAAATTGGTGGCTCAGCGCCAGAAGTACCTGGATTTTTTATGCAGCCTACCGTCCTCTCCGGCGTAACAGCGGATATGCTAGTTGCTCGAGACGAGACATTTGGGCCTTTGGCTCCAATCTTCGTCTTTGACACAGAGGAGGAAGTCCTAAACCTGGCTAACAGCACTGAATTTGGCCTTGCTGGGTATATCTTTTCTGGCAACGTGGCGCGTGTTATGCGTGTGGCACGAAAGCTTGAAATTGGCATGTGTGGTGTCAATACGGGAAAGATTAGTGCAGCTGAATCGCCTTTCGGAGGCGTTAAAGAGAGTGGCTATGGCCTAGAAGGAAGTAAATATGGAATGGCTGAGTATCAGACTATCAAGACAATTACTCTGGGGAACCTTCACATGTAATATGAAGCTAACTAGTCAATACATTTGAAGACTGAAGACCTCTGGTAACTTCCTTAACGTCTTAAAACAACCCCATTAGCTCGTCAGTAATATCTGGAATAGCCTCACCAATATATGCTTTACCCGATGCCTCTTTCGGTCACTGTTCCAGACACTCAGGTCCGGGCTTCGTATTCCGGATGTGTGATTATATCTCTGGGCCAAGTGAACTCTATGTATTGAGCATTGACCGAGCCAGACGCTGCATCGCAGAGACGGCCAGTCATTCAAAACGTAAAACGAGTTCCGGGTCTGGGGTACCCCGGATTTCTGGGGATCAACCCCCGGTGGAAGTAATATAAACACTACAGGAACAAACAGCTCCAGTTCAAGGTTGTACTCCTACAGCCTTGACATAAAATTTTTAACTCTCATATTCATTATGAACTTTGAACTCGAGGGTAAGAAACTCTCGTTGGGCGTTGCCTTCACCACTTCTTGCGGCTTCCTGCTCTTTGGTTACGACCAAGGAGTCTTGGGCGGCCTCATTGAAAACGAAAGCTTCCAGTCAACCTTCCGGCAACCTAGTCAAATGGTGATCGGACAGATTACTGCAACCTATGACCTCGGGTGTTTCTTCGGTGCCATATTCTGCATGGTCTATGGAGATCGACTTGGTCGTCGGCTTTCCATTGTCCTAGGATGTCTCGTGCTCACGATCGGGGCCGTAATACAAACAGCGCCGTTCAGCGTAGCGCAGATGATCGTCGGTCGATTCATTGCTGGGCTGGGAAACGGCCTCAACACAACTGCAATTCCAGTCTGGCAGTCGGAGATGTCCAAGCCTCAACACCGCGGTCGTCTGGCCGTTCTCCACCTCGTCCTCAACCAACTAGGCAATGTGACAGCCCAGTGGCTCAATTTTGGACTTGGATACATCGGCCATCAGCAAGTCTCCTGGAGATTCCCGATTGCCTTTCAGATTTTCTACGCTCTTGTTACGATCGTCCTGCTTCCATGGTTACCTGATTCGCCACGCTGGCTCATTCAAAAGGGTCGGCTCGAGGAAGCCAAGGCTGTCACAGCCCGACTCCATGCCAAAGGTATCCATGATCCCGATTTATTGGCTTTGCATGAAGCATCCGTTCAAAGTGTTCAACATGAGCTTGAAGTCTCAAAGGTCAGCTGGCGCACTCTCTTGCAAAGGGACAGCCTACAGACCAGAAAGAGAGTCCTCCTAGGAATGGGTACTCAGTTAATGCAGCAGTGGGGCGGCATCAATGCAATCAATTACTATTTGCCCGTTGTGTTTGCCTCTCTGCAAGTCTCCCGCCAAATGTCACTGATCCTATCCGCTTGTAATGCGATCAATGTTATGGTTTTCACAGCCGTCGGCATGACAGTCATTGAGAAGGTTGGCCGGAAAAAGCTCATGATATGGGGCGCCGTGGGCCAAGGGACTTGCTTTGCCCTGCTGACGGCCGGCTTGGGTGTTGGAGGAAGTCGATGGTCAGCAGTGGCAATTGCCTTCGTGTTCGCTTTCTATACTGTGTTCGGCATGTCCTGGATTGCCATACCGTGGATGTATCCGGCAGAAATAAACACCCAATCCTGGCGCAACCGTGGCGCTGGACTTGCGACTGCGACCAACTGGATCTGCAACTACGCCGTTGTCTTGGTGACCCCCATTGGTATCGAGAACATTGATTGGAGGTACTATATAATTTATGTTGTTTTGAACTTTTCTTTTGTTCCTGTTATTTCTTTGTATGTGGAAACTGCCGGTTTATCTTTGGACGAGATTGACAAAATCTTCGAGGGACAAACATACAGCGCTCCTCTGGATGTGTTGGAAGGTGGGGCTACCAGTGACAATGAAGAAGGCAAAGCTAGACAGGATGAGATCGACAGTGAATGGGTTGAAGCTGTTGATACAAACAAGTGAGGCTGAGAGGAATCTTGTTGGCTTGGAGCGTTTTGCCTCTCAACCGATCCAAATGTACTGTCTCCACCTCGGGATTCGAATCCCGGCCTACTTGACTATCTTTGAATAAGAATTAGTTTACGACATCACTATCCCTCCCAATTAATCAGTATATGGATCAGATCTGAATAAGACTTAGCAATGCCTCCTCAAACCAAGACTGTCAAGCCTGCACGCAAGCACGTTACGACTGCATGCATTCCTTGTCGAGACGGAAAAGTAAAAGCATGTAATCCCGGAATTCGAGAATGGTCGTGCTTGACTGACTATCTGATTGGGCTAGTGTGATGGATCAAGACCCTCATGCAAGAACTGCGAGTCCAAAAACAAAGATTGTAACTACAGACAGCGCGATGACAAAAGAAAGTAGGTTTCGATATAGTCACAAAGAAAGAGATCTCTCTGTATTAAGCCATCAACAGGATCCCCGTCCGCGTTGCCGTTTCGCTCTTGGCTTCAAGAGTTGCAGTTCTCTCTCAACATATCCGAGATGCGGGCCTCGGAGTTCCGGATATGAACAAGAATGACCGAGATACCCTAAGAGGGATTTTGCAGAGCTTAGGAATTGCCTACGAGAATGTGCTAAGTGACGAAAATACATCCCATGGCGAAGGAGCCATTTCCAGGAACCAGGAGCCTGTTGATACAACCCGCTTCGTGACTCACGACCAGACAACCATCACCAATACACAACGTCCTCCAGGGGGCGATAATTATGATCCTGAGAACGATTTACCCCCACTTTATGAGCAATCCATTGGTCGGATACCAGCAGAAAATGTCCCGGAAGATGCAGTGCTGGTAGATTTTGATGATACTATTGACCATATTCAGAATGACGCAGGGCCGAGTCAGCTTTCTGAATCATATCGCATGCATGTTGCACCGACTCAGTTTGCCCCCAACGATGATGTGATACCCAGTGAAAACTTGGAAACCGATAGCGAGGACGAAGTCACCAACCAATTTGCATGTCGCTTGGGGCGTGTGCAGTTGACGCACGACGGTCAACTACGGTATTTTGGGTCGACATCTAACCTAAACTTGCTTGACGTTTCAGTCGACATTGGAAATCCTACACCTTCTCTTGTTCAGAAAGATGCGCAAGAGATACTGGAGGATTCGGGCCTCAACATAGAAGTGGAGGAGGCCTTTGAGAAGCATCTACTCGAGCTTTACTTTGCCTGGCAAGACCCATGTCTGCATGTTGTTCACAGTGAAGCCTTTTGGAAGGCCAAATTTCAGAATCAATATGAAGGCTTAACTTCAGCTTATTATTCGCAAGCTTTATGCAACGCGATGTGAGTATGTCCCTTGACCTTGAAGTCTTCAAGCTGATAAAAATCAATAGGTGCGCAATGGGTGCAGCTTACGAGCCCAAGTATCATCCAGATCTTGTCACATTCCCTCGGTCCTTGTCACAGTTTTTCGGGGATAGGGCTAAAGCCCTCCTGGAACTGGAAATTGAAAATCCTTCACTGGCAACAATCCAAGCGCTGGTCATATGCAGTAATTACGAAGCTTCAGGTACTAAAGACACTCGCGGCTGGCTGTACAGTGGTAAGTCAAACTTCTGTAACTTTGGCTATTGGAAACAGATTCACCTTTAAAAGGGATGGCCATGCGACTTGCATTTGACCAAGGTCTCCATTTGGACGTCACCCCTTACGTGGAAAAGGGTATCATCACGGCTGAGGAATGTAAGATTCGACGAACTGTTTTCTGGGGCTCGAGTCTCAACGACCAGTACGTCATTCCTGCATGCCGTTACCAAGCCTTGCCGCCAGACTAATAATTCACAGATTTTGGGGATACTACTTGGGGCGGTCTGTCCGAAGCCCATTAGCTGGCGTCTCTGTTCGAAAATCATGCTGGAATGACACATCTCCTACATCTCACCCGGAACCACGCTGGAGAGCTTATGGGTGCTCGCAAGTCAATATCCAAAGTATAACTAACCCGTCGGACCTGATATTCCAGCAGTGGATCGCTTTGTATGACTTGATGTCCCCTGTAACTGATGTACTGTGAGTTACCAGAATTCTGATGCGCATCCTCATCGAACCGGGATACTAATATCAGCCAAGGTATGGATGTTTGGAAATTTCGAGGACAGCGCTCCAAGAGCTCACTGCTGACACTGTCGCACGGCTGCTTGCTTGGAAAAATAACCTGCCCAACGACCTTAACGTTGATGCGACCAAAGAGTCCTACTACTATTTGCCCCACGTTCTCACTTTGCAGTAAGTTGAATAATTGGAATGATAAGCTCATGTACTAATTTAAAAAGTTTGCAATATTATCAGTTTATGATTCACTGCCATCGCCCCTACATATCGAAAGATCATATACAGCCGAGACCATTGCAGGGGCCTGGACCTGGACATGCACGCAGAATGTGTCTCGAATCGGCAATCTCGATAGTCAAAGTCCTCAACATGTATGAGCGACGATACGGTTTTCGAAAGGCAAATGTTCAGATGGTGTCGTACGTATTTTCAGCAGCACTTATCCTCATGTTTGTCACTGTTCCAGGTCAAAGCAACACCCAGCACTCTGACCTAGTAAGATACCTGGGTACATGCTTCTGGGCATTGGATGAAATGGGCACTTGTTTTGAAAATGCGAAGCGAACAAGCAGATTTCTAAGTACTCTTCAGCAACAATGGCATAAACGCAAGCGGGGAATGGCACAAAAAGGCGCAAAAAGGGGTCCACAGAGCGAGACTGGTTCCGGGAAGCGTCCAAAAAGGTCTCGAAATACAGCTGGGACACAGAACTGGCCGGGTGACAATCTATCTAGCTCCGCAGAACTTGGCAAGTCTGCTGCTGTGGACTCGCCGATATCTCACGAGACTCATGACTTTTCATTTTTTGGAGATGATGGGCCTGATTTTGTTGAATTTATGGATCCAGAGCTGTGCAATATTTTACTGAGCGATGGGATACCACGAGCACTCATTTAACGAGGTAGTCTGTTTTTAATATTTCACTCTATTTTACAAATTGAGGATCCAAAAACCATGCGACTCATATTCTATCAACTATTCTGATCCGTTTGATACTGATAGCTCATTAGGCTTTTACATTCATCTCAATCTATATAGCTCTTCGACTGCCCGACTTAGATTGATCGCCAACCCATCTGTCTTGCACTGCGGCCGTTCAAGAACTCGAGGTATTTCTTAACCCGAGAGACAATTCCGCGCGTATCCAATCCAAAGCGCTTGTAGTTGCTCGGGTTAGACGCAGAGTAACCGTAGGATGTCATGCCCACACTGGCTGTAACATAACGTGCCCACGTGGTGGCCACATATTCCTCCACACTGATGATGGGGTTTCCATCGAGGGGGAAAACAGACTCTCTGTATTCTGCGGGTTGTTGATCAAACAGGTCGAGGCTAGGAGCACTGACAATCCGGCAACGAATGGAACTTTGCTCATGCAGCTCGTTTGCAGCACGAATGGCATGGTGCAAACTCGTACCACAGCTGACTAGTGTCAGCTGGGCATCTGGATGCTCTCTCAAGTACGTATGCTCCCTTGGATACGTTAAATCTGCTTGTAATTGCTGGTTGCTCGACTGAATCACGACCAACGGAAATCATCGTCGGACTGCTTGCGGATTCTACGGCACACATCCAAGCGCCGATCACCTCTTCGGCATCAGATGGCCGGATATATGTGAGATTTGGCATGGCCCGATATAAGGAGTCAAGCTCCACTGGCTGATGAGTAGGTCCATTCTGCCCCTCGGCTAGTCAAAGTTAGGTGGTCTCCAATACACTAGTTTCAAATTGTCTTACCGAACGAGTCGTGAGTTGCAACATGAATAGTTGGAAGGTGACTAAGAGCTCCCATACGCACTCCAGGAGCTGCCTGTAAGAGTTTTTGAGCCCCTGGTCAGCTTCTAAGCGGAGTTACGGGTATCCCTTATGAACTCACATAGATGTAGAACATCAAAAATGTTGCGGTGACTGGCAAAAAGGTACCCGGGTTGTACGCCGCAAGACCATTTGAGATAGAGGCCATAGCATGCTCTCTGATGCCATATCTGATGTATCGGCCCTGGTAGCTGACTGAGGGGTGAAAGACATCGGTGTCCGAGTAAACAAACTTGTTGGAGTTGACAAGGTCTGCACCACCACCACAAAATGAAGGACATGTTTCCCAAAGTTTTTGAAGGATGAGTCCGTTTGACTCCCTGGTTGGCATTTGGCTGAACTGGCTGCTATCCAAACCCTGGAGAAGTGACCCCAAGTCTGGCTTCGCACCCCGGAGTCGAAAGGTAAATTCGCTCGCCAAATCGGGATACTCGAGGGTGTATTTCATCAGCAAATGTTGCCAACACTTTTCCAAGGCTTCTCCGTGCTTTTTTCGTTCCCGGAAGTAGTTCAAACCACGTGCGGTGGGTTTGTGGCTTTGACAGGGATCTTGTCCAATCGCCAACTTGGACTTCGCAACGCTTTCAACGTCAAAGCTTCCATGATGTGCTTTCGCTGTTCCAGCTGTGCTAGTACCAACACCAATGACGGTACGGATGTTGATAAAAGTGGGCTTCCCTTTTAAGGATTGGGCATATCTTAGAGATGAGCAAATGGCTTGAACGTTATAACATCCGTCCATTACATCAAGAACATGCCACCCGGAAGCTCGCATTTTCTGGTTGGTATCTTCGGTGTTAATCCACGAAAGAGGGCCATCACAAGTGATACCATTGTTGTCGTATACTAACACCAGATTATCCAGTTGGAGATGGCCTGCCAATGCAATTGCTTGAAGTTTTCTCAGTATATGCTTATTCCAAGTTCTGAACCAAGGGGGGAAATACCTTCCAGAGCAACACCTTCCATCAAGCAGCCATCACCCGTCATGCAGTAAACTCGGGAGCTGACTACTTCATAACCGGGTTTGTTAAACCGGGCTGCCAGGTTCTTGGAAGCAATAGCCAAGCCAACGGAGTTGGCAATTCCTGTCCGAATGGACCAGTGGTAACTTCAATGCCGGGGCATTCAATTTCCGGATGGCCGTGTGCGATGGTGGTGAAGCCATTCTCCTTCGCGCCACCATAGCCCTTTAGCTCGTCCATTGTCCAAGCATCGAATCCTGTCAAGTGGTTGAGGGCATACAAGAACATGGCGCAATGTCCTAGCTTTCCATGTCAACTATATCGTCAATCCTTTAGTCCTGGGAAAGCACATACCGTTGGAAAGCACAAATCGGTCTCTGTCAAACCAGTCTGGATTTGAGGGGTTATACCGCATGATGTATTTCCATAAAGCCACGCCTATAGCAGCCATACCAATAGCGGATCCGCCATGGCCTCCACCATTTTGGTTGCAGATGTCGAAAATCAAATTTCTAAGAGTAAGAACCGCGTGCTCATCGTCGGGCATGTTGTCCACGTCCTTGGTGCTGACTCCAGTCAAAGTCATGATAATTGAAGAAGTATTCAATCAGAATAGTACATATAATGGAAGAGCAGGATATGTCCAATAACTCACCATACGCTTGGGGCTCGTCTTATAAGATGCTCAGAGTCTATTCTCTGCACCGGGATCGCAATCCCGAGAATCGAGAGGCAGAAAAGTGAGGTCAAATAATCCCGGATGCCTTCCAGGGTATACAGTCTGATAGACACTAGAAAGAAAATGATTGAGACATTTTCGGCTATTCTATGTCGCCTTAACTTGCGTATGATGCAAAATTCGCACTCGGCATGTGCTATCACAACGAGATCCTCATGCCCCAGATAAGTTCAATAGCTAATCACTAGGCATATCGAGCTGCTTCCCCCGTCGGCACGACATTACTTTCTACTCTGAAGCCTTACTTATCCAAAGGCTCTTACGTAGTTCTCGCTATAGTTACGCAAATGTGGAAAATACTCGATTAAACGACTCTACGCCTAGTAACACACTTCTGTGAAGTCTGAACATTTTTAGGATTCAGGGAATCTACGTCTTGAATTGAAAGTGGTAGCCCCAAATATTTTCAATGTATTTGTCAATTATATATTTTGATCAGAAATTAACCACTGTCTTTATAACCAACTTAGACTCCCCATCTCGTGTCTTACCGGCAGTGTCATAGGCCGATGGAATAGAATCGAGCCCGACAAACCGATGCGTAATAAGCTTCGTCACATCCGGCTTGAGAGAATTGGCTCTCACTCCCTCCATGATCTCGATTGCCCGAGGATAGCAATTCGCATAGCGCCACACTGATACCACATTGATCTCACGACCCGTGAGCTCTGCGATAGGCCATGTTTGAATGGCAGTTCCCATCCCCACAAGCACAACATTTCCGCCATTTGTAGCCGCCTGTAATAGAATGAGCTTTCTGGCAAGTTTGAGGACGGAAAGAGAGCTCACATATATCGATGTTTGCACGCAACTTTCGACTCCTGTACACTCAAAAACATGGTCAACCTGGCCCACTTCTTCACCTTCTGGCCATTGCTGTTTGCCAATCTGAATTGCTAGATCCTTCGCATCTGAAAGACGGCTTTCAGCAGTCTCCCCTTTCTTCGGGTCAACCACGAATCCTACGTCTGCAAAGCCGTGTTCCAGGGCGAATGCAACCCGGCCTTCGTCAACATCGGCAATCACAACAGGGCTTTTATATTCGATTTTTGCAACAGCAGCGCACAGTAGACCGACTGCCCCAGCACCAAGAACTAAGCATTGTGCCCCTTGCTTCATACCGGCCCTGTTGACAGAATGTACGCAGACGGACAGAGGCTCCAGCAAAGCACCATCGTCATATGAGAGTGTGTTTGATAACCTGCAGGAATTTCCTATCAGCCATAGCCCCCTTCCTTGGAAAGAAAAAAAATACTCACTTGTGACACCACTCCGCGGGATGGTCGACGAACTCCTGAAGAGTTCCCTGGAAATGGGGGAATGATGCTCCGCTGCTTCTGAAGCGCATTTTGGCGCAGATATTATATCGGCCAGCTTCACATCTGTCGCATTCCAAACATGCGACACCACTCTCTATTGCCACTGAATCGCCGACTTTAAACTTCCCAGTTTCCAGAGCGGTCGCGCCTACTTCCACCACCTCACCGGCTGCTTCGTGCCCACCACACAACGGCTCTTTGACTTCGATTGATCCATTTTTGCCAAACTTGAAGTAATGCATGTCGGAGCCACACAAGGTCGTTGACCGGACGCGGATTCTCACATCAGACGGGCTGATAGAGGGCATTGGTCGCTCCTCAAGACGCAACTGCTGCGGTCCGTGCAGGTACTGGCCCTTGCTGGTTCTGAGAGAACTGGCCATTGTTCTTTTGTTTTCTTGTTGAATTGGTCTGTTGGCAAGAATCGTCATAGGGCGTCTCAGGCGGAGGGGTCGTCGTCTCCACAAATAGTAGGGCCGTGAAATGAGTCCCGATCCTCGGATGATAGCCTCAAGTCAAGTTTCTTGGCCTTGCATGCAGATATCCGGATATACCAACGTCCGTCGGGATTAGTCTCCCGGAAGGGGAATGGGTTTCTCCAAATCAAAAGGGTAGCCATAAGACGGCGACTTGGAAAGAACCTGTTGCTCAACCTTTGTACTTCTTCCATCATTGGTTGTGACAAAATGGCTTCCTCTTACGCCCCTACTGCCATCATCATTGGCGCAGGTCCTGGTGGTATCTCAATGGCCTATCGTCTGAAGCACGAACTGGGGTTTGACGATTTTCTGGTAATGTCTATAGCTTGTTCACCGGCTACGCAGCAAGTTTTGACATGTTGCAGATATACGAAAAGCTGGACGGTGTGGGCGGCACTTGGCGATCAAACACCTATCCTGGCTGGTAAGGTTCTCGACAAGAAACAGCTTTCTCACCTCACTAACAGTTGCACCTCAGTGGTTGTGATCTTCCCTCGCACCTTTACTCTTTCAGCTTTAATCTCAACCCCAATTGGTCCAAGGAATTGTGTGAACAGCCCGAAATCTTGCAATGTTGGTCAACCTGCACTGACTTGTTCACCTAAGTCGCGGGATGTTTGCTGACAGTATATTACATCCAGACATTGAGGACACTGTCGACAAATTCGATCTACGGCAACATGTCATTACCTCGGTGGAGTGCTTAGGGGGTACTTGGAACGAGGACGAAAAAGAGTGGACTGTGAAATTCCGCGACGTACAAACCGGTCTGGAATTCGAGCGCCACACGACCGTCTTCGTTTCCGCAGTTGGTGCTATCTCCTTTCCCCGAGACGTGAGATTCAAGGGGATGGAGAATTTCAAGGGTGACATGTTCCACACCGCGCGCTGGGACCACTCGGTTGACTACACTGGCAAGCGAGTGGTAAGCACATTCTCCGGGACTTTTCATTTGATTCACTACAGGGCTAACCTTCTCTTAGGCAGTGATTGGAAACGGTTGCAGTGCCGCCCAAGTTGTGCCTGCCGTTTCCGAGAAAGCAGCTTTCGTGCAGCAATACGCTCGCAGTGCACAATGGTATCACGCGCGTGTAAGTCAATTTTGATAGTCCTTTGCTTGGTCCTCAGCTAACCTGAAGTTGGTGAAAGCCAAACAAATCCTTTTCGCAGCTCGAAAAATGGTCGTTCAGGTGGTTACCTCTCTGGCAACGATGGCTTCGCTTGCGCATTTTCCTCCAAACGGAGCGGGAGGCTTACACTTATTTCTCCTCGGAGGCTGGTGTCAAGGCCAGACTTGCGGCGGAGGACGAGTCCCGAGAATACATCCTCTCTCGTACCCCTCCGCAATACAAGAAGGCCGTGGTGCCTGATTTCCCTTTGGGTATGGAAGCATCCCACTGTATTGAAAAATAAAAGCTTATGTTGTCGCACAGGATGCAAAAGACGCATTTTCGATCCTGGCTATCTTGATTCCCTTCATCAATCTAATGTCAAGCTTCGCAATGAGGGAATCCAGGAGTTTACCGAGAACGGGATCGTCGGATCTTCGGGCATTGAAGACGAGTTCGATATTATTGTGCTTGCAACCGGCTTCCAGGTCTCGCAGTTCCTTGCACCTATGGAAATCTATGGTCGACATGGCGTCTCTCTAAACAAACAGTGGAGCGAGTCCCGAGGAGCGCAGGCCTACTATGGCACGTTCGTGCACAACTTCCCCAACTTGGCCATCATGTAAGTGTATCTAAGGAAGATATAATTGATCTCAGCTTACACATATATAGTTTTGGTCCCAACAGCTTCCCTGCAAACAATTCCGCTCTGTTTGCCTGCGAAACCCAGGTTTGCTTCGCGGTCAAGGCACTCTTCGAGCCAATCCTCGACCATCGAGTTCGAGTGGTGGAAGTAAAGCAGTCTGCCGAGGAGAGACATACGATCTCTCTTCAGGAGCAGCTTAAGGGCACTGTTTTTGCAGGTAATTGCTCAAATTGGTATATTAATGAGTTTGGTCGAAATGTCGCTTCGTGGCCGGCGATGGCGGCTTTCTTTTGGTTGGAGACATTCTGGCCAAATTGGAACGCATTCATCTGGAAGGATGGCTCCGCTACATGGCCCCTCTACCGATTTGCTAGATGGTGGAAAATGAGTTCGTGGTGCTCCAAGGCAAGCATTGCGGCGATGGTCGCCGTCTTCCTGTCGCAAAGCAGAGCCGGTAGTGCCATAGGGGTCACTGGGGCTTTGGAGACCTTGTATGAAAGTATTAGGGCTCTGGCGTGCTACATTGCTAGCTAGCCTGTAGCTTAGTTTGTCGTATAGGACAAATAGGATATCCTGAGATGCCCAAAGAAATGTTCTGAACGAAATCGTCCGAAAGCTACCAGTAGCCGGCAAATACTGTACAGTATAGCGTTTATAGGGAAGAGAAACCTCTTTCTCCCATGTAGATCGATTGATTTTTACCAGAGGCCAAAGTAGGTCACGTTAAGTGTCACATATCGAAGGATAATACGTGACGCTATCAAAAATTCCGGAGAGGGGTACTACGGCCGGCTTTTGAATCCCGAGCAATAGGCATAAAAATAACCTATCGATTTCCTGGGAGCAAAGACATCATTTTCAATTTCCTACATCATAGACATTTTACGCCGCTCTGAATTATATTAGATTCGCGATGACAAAAATGAAGGCCAATATCGGAGTGGTTGGCTTAGGCCGGATGGGCCAGCGTCATGCATTGAATATTCTCCACCAAGTGCCCCGAGCCAAGCTCTTCGCAGTTTGTACACCAGCACTTCATGAGATCGAATGGGCGAAGGCAAAACTTGTACCAGAAGGGGTGCATGTATTTCAGAGCTTCGAAGAGATGATTAGCACTCCTGGGCTAGACGCCGTGGTCATCGCGTCGCCAACCGAGCTACACATAGCGCAGACATTGGCCGCTATGCAACTCGAGATACATGTTCTTTGTGAAAAGCCGATCACAAGAGATATCTCTCAGGTAAGAAATTCGATTTAGCCTCCGAACCACCGCTTATGCCGCGTTTATAGTTACGTGATTTGATGGAGACAGCAAAGCAGCATCCCCAAACAAAAGTGATGGTTGGATTTGTGCGCCGTTTTGACGAAAACTATATGAATGCCATACAGAAGATCAAAAGTGGCGCCATAGGCGAACCTCTTATTGTCCGTTCACAGGGCGCCGAGAAGCTGGACAAAAGTGGCTTCTTCATCGAATATGCTCGGCAGAGTGGTGGGATTTTCGTGGACACCGTCGTTCATGACATTGACTTGACTTTATCTATCCTGGGTGAAGAAGCCAGACCCAAGGCTCTCTGGGCTACTGGAATCATTGCCCATCATCATGAAATGAAAGATTTCAAGGATGTCGACAACTCGGTGGGTGTTGTTGAATTCTGGGGTGGCCGAATCGCCCACTACTATCATTCCCGCACAACCTCGCACGGATATGACAACTGCACGGACATCATTGGCATGAACGGAAAGATCTCCATTAACCCGGTGCCTCACTATAATCGGGTACAGGTGTCGAACGCGTCTGGAATCATGCAAGATTGCACCCCTAGTTGGATGGATCGATACCGAGAAGCTTTTGTGACTGAGCTGAATCAATTTACCGACGCTATACTGGATAATACGGAGCTTCCAATGAGGCTTTCTGCTGCCTACACAGGTCTCAAGATCGCGACTGCCTTCCAAGAAAGCTTGGAGACTGGTCGGAAGATCGAGTTTGATGAAAATGGTGACCGGATCGTGTCCAACGGCAAATAGACACTTGGGATTACAATCCCGGGTTTACCTTATTCTCCGAATTCAAATGTACTTACAGATTGTCAAGTCTCTATTCCGGGAAAAGTAGGTCCAGAATGGGCAACTTGTGTAGAGAAGTTGAGAGACCGCTTCCTGCGAATATATCTCTATTGGAGCCGCTCTTATACGTATAGGCGTTTGCGCTAAATTGATGATGACAATTCCAAATGCTACTGTACCAATTTCAAGTGTAGATGACATGCCAAATATTTGATTTGAGGACAGGTCCTAATTTGGACACATTCATAAGAGCATCTGTTAGGCTCTAGACTGTGTAGGGACCAAAGAAGCAGAGGGGAGAGAGTTCTATTAGGAAGAGACAGAAGCTCCTAAACAGCTATCTAACACGAGTGGATATGCCTGAGCCATCAACCAGACATCTATCATAACAGCATCTACAGCTTATAGTTTCCAGAGGAGACTTGCATACCACCATCGATAGCAATATCTTGTCCAGTGACATAAGAAGAAGCATCACTCAACAAATACAACGCGGCCAGTTCCACGTCCTGTGGTGTCCCGACGCGCCCAAGGGTGGCGCTTCATTGAAAATCTTGAGCAACTCTGGCCGAAGAGATGCCAGTGAGAGATTCATGTCTGTGGCAATGTATCTAGATCTGTCTGAGCGATAGGTTTTCAGTGCGTCAGGGAGCTCCTTACCCGGAGAGACGGTATTAACACGGATTCCATCAGGAGCCAGCTCGTGAGCCAGACTTCTTGCCATTGAGAACACGAAGCCCTTGCTTCCCGCATAGGCAGTCAGCAGATGACCAGGGCAAACGTGTTGCGCTGACTGTGAGCAAATCATCACGACACTTCCTTTAATACCATGCTGCTTCATATTCTTCACGGCATTTTGTACCGCGAAGAATGTTCCCGTTTCCTTTTCAGAGTTAGTATCTGCTTATCACACAGCTAACTAGAAACGTACATTCACAGCTTGAAGTTTTTGGATATCTTCCCACTCATGCTTCAAGAATGGCTTGTCGATACAGATTCCGGCTGCCGTGACTCTGTTCAATGTGGGTTTGTCAGTCATGGGTTATCCTTTACCGGTGCAGACTAGCCTGGTCTCACACTCCGTGGATGCGGTGGAATTTCTCTACGATGCTGGTAAAAGTGCGTTCGACCTCCTCCTTATCTGTCAGATCACAACTTTCGAAAGTAAGTCATTTGTGGTCTTTCCCGTTAAATGGGATCACTTACCAGTAGTAATGGAGCTGATTTGGAGTACTCTTCCTCCAGTCGAGAAAGACGGGATCGGGCTGGTGTAGAATGTCGGTGACCACTACAGTGGCACCAGCATCCAAACAAGTTTTCGATAGCGCCATGCCAATACCCCGACCACCACCTAGTAATGTGTTAGAGTTTATTGAGGTCTTTAGGCAATGGTGCTGTTTACCAGTGATTAGGATCACTCGGCCACCGAGACTGAAACGAGCCGCCAGAGAGAGGTGTGCCATGGTGTCTGTCCAATCTCGATTGTTGTCAAACGAAATGAATCAACTTATAAAGTACAAATAAAAAAAGGAGTTCGCTGCAGGGTGAAGACAAAATACATATTTATATTCGCATGACACTTGTGGAATATATGAGGCCAGCTGGTGGAGAATGACTACCCGGGACTTATATCCCGCCGGGAATCATGTTCAACAATACTTCGAATCTTTTTTTTTCCCTTTCTAGATAGAGGCTCATTTAATTTTATTCTGTCATCTTAAACAAGAATCACTCAAGAAGAAGGTGTGGGGATGAACTTCGCGTCCACCATCCGGTCAAATGTAGCATGATAACCCTGGAGAGTATCAATCTGCTCCTTGAACCCAACAGATCGAGCCACCTCAAGAGAATACTCCTGAGCAAAGTCAAAATCAACAAGCATGAAGTTCGCATGGCCCCAGTTCTGCGACTCAATGAGACCCTTCTTCAGGCCATGAGTCAACACCAAGCGGTCCCAAACCGCCTTATTCTCGGAAACGAAATCCTGCATATTCTTCTGCTTGCCATCTGGCTCGACACCACTGAGGCCAAAGTAAGAGCAAATTCTAGGCCAAACCTGAGCCCAGGTGACAGCCTCTCCGTCGCCACAATTAAAGCTCGATCCGTTTTGACACTTGTCGCGGTTAAGAGCAGCGAAGATTTCCATCTTAGCAAGGATATCTTGGAACGTGTCGGTGTGGCGAGTGTGATAACCATGCGGACGACCGGGGAATGGGACTCTGGCATCCTTTCCATTGACTTCTCGGTACAGAGTCAGGTAGAAGGCAATGCCATGTGCCATATTCATGACGTTGGCGCCAGGAGCAAAGCCGACGATGCCATCCGGTCGAATCTCGGAGAACGTCCAGTTTTGGTCTTCGGATAGTTTCTTTAAGAGATCGTACTGGTCGTAGTAAAAAATGTTCTCTCTCCATGGCGAGGGAATGCGGGGCATCTTCTCGTGGAGAGGAGGCTGGATGTTAACCTCTTTAGGGAACTCCAGTCCATACCCCTTGCCACCCGTCTGTAGGATGACCGCTTCCATCATGGGTGAAACAGCGGAGATGGCTTGGATGGCGGTTTGGAGAAGATCCGTGTTGACCCTGCCCAGCGACTGGAAGTCGTCGGTCTGAATGTAAGCTGACTAGAAGGTTAGTCTATTTGGCTTCAAAGATGAACCAACATGGCAAATACATACCACAAAAGAAAACCACATCGACTGACTCCACGTTCTCGACCTTCTCTTTAAGCTGAGCCTTTACCGTTTCCACGGACTGTGTCAGGTCAATGCCCGACACAATATTGAGGCGCGGATCGTCAGGGAGATAAGTGTCCTTGTTGGTCCATGGCCGGTTGCATAAGCCAGTCACGCGGTTAAAGGTCGTCGGGGTTGGGTATTGGAGGGTTTGGTTCAAGAGAGCCCATCCGGAGATTCCAGAGGCTCCGAAGATAAGGGCATGCTTTCCAGTTTGTGACGACATCGAATGTGTAGAGTGTTGAAAGATTATTAGACAGTACAGGAGACTCAGATGGGTCTGTAGATGGGTCTTTAAATACTTTCTGTCACCGAGACTGATGGGTTTCGCCTTCGGGTTTCATATCCCGGATGATTAGAAACACAATGAGTGGAGATGAACACTTGCATTTCTCACCAGGCGGTTTATTTCCGCTCCTTATGACCCTACTTTTATTGAAAGAAGAGGCTAGTTGTCATATAAAATGCTGTGATATCGCGAAAATAGGATATATAGGAGAACCAATCTCTGGTATTATCGATCAGAGATTATCGATTTATATTGTTCTTCTGTAATATACTACAAGAGATTTAAACTAGGATACAAACACATATGTACTTAGAAGGAACATTAGAGTACTTTGAGGAAGGACGAGGCTTACGTCCATGTAAGGAATGCATTGTAGAGTTAAACTCGCTCGAGCAAATAACAGTGAGCCAAGAAAAGGAATCATATAAGATAAAATGAGCAAGTCGATCACGGCGAGCAAGATCATTAAATGCAAGAGCAATTAATATGCACAGCGGGTGAGAGAAGAAAATACATGAATATACTGGAAACAAAAGGGTTGAAGCAATAGAAACTGAGTATATACATTTCCAGTACTGACTCGGAGTCGGGAGTGCGGCGATGCATCTGTATGGCCGAGGACGACTATTAGAGACTCAGAGCGGGATAAACAATCCAGTCAAGAGGGGTTTATCCGATTGACTCCTTGAGATACAGACGGTTTGATTATATAAAAGAGAAACTCGCTTAAAGCTCGCGTCCCTTCTCACCTCCCCATGAAACACGCGGGATTTGGCGGGAGGCAGACTGGGAGCCGGAGCCGGAGCCGGAGCCGGATCCAGATCCAGATGGAGAAGACTGGTCGGAGGGCTTGTGTGTTTCGGCGGTCTGGTTCTTGCTCGTTTGACTGGACTCGCCATTCTCATTGTCCTCAATATCCGTCTCTTCCTCCAAAATCGCGTTATCATCCGACTCCGAGCCATCATCGTTCTCGGAATCGTCACCTTCCACACCCAGGGCAGCCAGACGGCGGCGGCGCTCGGCTGGGGTCTCGCCTGTGTCGTCGTCAGCCTGGCGCGGGGGCGCGGTCATACCAGCGGCTTGACGGAGACGTGAAGGTGGGATACGCTCTGTGCCATCGTCGTCGGAATCGCGGCGAGATCGATCCCGCATACGGGGTGGTGCAGGGCTGAGGTTGTTGCGGCGTTCTTGGGCGGCGGAGGTACCACGCGAGAACTTCGCCAGTGAGGCAGCTACGTTAGGGGAGCCGCGATGGTCGCCAGACTCATCGTCAGTAACGTCGCTATCGGTGACGGACTCGGACTCGGACTCCAGAGCTTCGGCGTCTTCTTCGGGGATGGTGCTAGCACCGGCGGTAGCGGCGACAGCGGCAGCAGAAAGGCGGCGCTCTTGCTTTTCCTCGGCCTTTACTTCTTCCTTCGCATCGCGCTGGGCCCTTTCTTTAACTGGTGCTGGTGCGTCGGTTTGCTGCACCAAATCCCGGCGGCCCTTGGCGTCAAGGCCCTTTATTTGCTCGAAGAATTCCTGCTTGTTCATACGTCGGCCCTTGTGGCCAATGCCTTGAGAGGCGACTTGGGGGTCCTCGGCCAAAGTGAATCGAATGCCGTCATCGGCAGTCCAGTCGTCTTCCTTTCTCCTTTCCTGGGCAGCCTGGGAGGATTCGCCTGCTTCCTCCATACCGAACCAGGTGCCCATACGGGTCAGACCACGTCGAACAGGTGCTTCACCCGGGATGGTGGGCTCCTTCTGAGCCTTCTCGCCCTTCTCGCCCTTCTTGCTGCCGGGAAGGGTGTATTTCTTGATCACCTCACCGTCCTCATCCTCAACAATAATAGTGTTGCCGAATTGGTATGCATGAGCTGAACGAGGTTTGGGCTTGGCTGAATCGGCCTTGGGGGGCTTTTCTTTCTTCTCAGCCTTCTCTGGCTGGTCCGTGGCCCGGTCCTTTCCAAGTCCGGTCCAGTTGGTCCACTTCTTGAGGGCCTTTCCATATGAAGTACCAGCCTTCTCCTCAACAGAGTGCTTGATCTCCTCTCCCTCGGTCTTCGGGTGGGGTTGACTCTCAGACGGTGCTAATTTTCCTGATTTATCGGTTTCCAGACGCTTGCGCTGCGCTTCAATGTGCGCAACCTTCTCTTCCGGAGACATACGAGAGGTATCCTCAGTCGCGAGAACATTGCCCTCTTCATCTTCGATGACCATGTTTTGGCCCTCTTGATAAACCTCGAGCTGTGGCTCACGACCGACACGATCCCGCTCGGCATGAGGTGTAGAAGCTTCACGATCAACCTGATCGCGCGCTTCCAGTTCTTTCTTTTCTTCTTCGGCGCCGACCTCATCCTCAGTGGGCCGAGGAGCGGGCATAATAGCAGACTGGCTAATTGGGCCTCCGACACCGGCAGCACGCTTACGGCGGCGTCTCCGCAAGGGCTTGCGACGAGAAGACTCGAGACTTTGTGATTCGCTATCTAGCTCCTCGTCACGCTGCCGGCGGAGGAAATTGCCAGGCATACCGATGGGCGGTAACGTACCAGGAGGGTACGCAGGAAGCTTTTCGTCCGATGAGGCATCAGTATCCTCCGCCTTGCGGAAGGACATGGAGCCCTTGGCGATTGACTGCACACGAGGAAGACGGTTCATCCATGAAGGTCCCTCCTCATTGGCCTGTGTGTAGGACAGGGTGAGAGTCAAGGTGTTGATGCGTTTACCCAGAGTAAAGACTGCAATAGACGAGCCGTGCACAAGAATGGATGTAATGACCATGAATGTAGTGATGGGCCAAATGAGCCTGACAACATAGTAATTGCTGGCTCCTGGCTCTGGGAGCTCGTGTTCAGGTAACGGTTGTGTGGTGTCGTTCTCCAGTTCCGCCCGAGCGAGTATGGCGGCGAAAATTGCACCGACACCGATAGGACCGAAATGCCCTGCGAATAAAGCTTCCCGCCAGGTTTTGATATCCGGTATTATCGGTTTCAGTAATAGCATGATTGGAATACGTCTGAAGAAGAGGACCAATATCGCAATCACCACCAGCCGCCAAGGGGTAATGCCGAGCTCGGGGGCGTTGAAGTCCTCCCAGGGAACGATGGATCCGAAGTAGACGAAGTATGCCAAGTTGAGGAGAAGATCGATAACGTTGGAGACATGAGACTCCTCTGTCTTCTCCGTAAACCAACCATCGTTACTGAACCCAACACCACAAGCGAATCCGATCAGCAGGTCGTCCATGCCCAGCATAGCACCTGAACCAGCACAGAAGACAGCCAGCACAAAGTAGAACACCAGGAAACTCTCACGATCGATCAATCCCTTGCGCTCAGCCAACTTGATCGCATGGCGAGCAACGTAGCCGATGGTGAAGCCGAAAATAGCACCCAAAATACACTCGTACAAAACGGTGATACAGAACCAGTGCAGCCACACCTCGCCGACTTGAGGCC